GGGGGTGCCAGGGCCCCTCCCCGCACGGTAATGGGGGCGGGGTGTCGGGTTTCTCTCTGTGATGAGGGTGGCAGCTGACCACTGCTGTCCTCACACAAAGCCTCCATGGTCATTCCACATCCTCTACCTGCCCCCTCCAGCCCCCAGTCCAAAGGCACCCGGGCCTTGACTCCAGTGGCCCCCTGCCCCTACATCCTGACCTCCTTTCCTTCTGACATACCAAACCCAACAGGCGACATCCTTCTACCAAGTCCCCCATCCAGGTGCCCCCAGCCTGGGAGGTCTATGCTGTGCGCTCTCGCCCCTCCTTGGACACCAAAGGGACAGCTCTTCCACCAACACTCTCCCCCCCCTGCAGCCCAGGTCCTGCGTGGCTCCCACTGGCCCGGCCCAGCTCCCCACCCACTCACACCAGTTCCCCTCGGGCAGCACTCGGGCCTCTCAGCCAGTCTGCAGTGGGCACACTGAGAGTTGCTGGGCAAACCACCAAGGCAGGCCACAACACTGGAGACCCCCAAACATGGGGGTTTCACCAGGCAACTTCCAAAACTGCTCTCTAAGTTGCCCAGATCCTGCTTGGGGAACCCCTGGGCAGGCCACCCTGCCGGCAGACACCAGGTCTGGGCGGTGCCTGCCCTGGCATGGCAGGGGCCCCTCAGATGGGGGCCAAGTCACAGCTCTGGCCAAGAGGTCACGGGCCCTCTGCAGACCTCCCCCCATGCCAGCCTGCTCCGCTGTCTGAGGCTCATGCTGTGGCCTCAGACACTGGAGATGAAAGGGGATTCAGAGCTTGTGTCACAAACCTCCTGCCACACCCAGGACCCGGTGTCTCGGCTGTAAGGCAGAAAGCCCTCTCTTGGAACCCAGGGCTAGGTGCTCCCCAGAGGCTGTGCCCTACGCCTGGCTCAGCCTTTCTCCTCCTTGGCTTGGTGGAGCTGAAGAGGGCACCCACATCTCTATGCCCACCCCTGCCAGCAGGGTGGAAATTCAGGCGGGCTGTGAGAGGGCCGGGTTGTCCTCCTGGGGCTCTGCCCAGCTCTCCTATCTAGTTTCCCATATACCCACTGCAGGGGCCACAGGCACCCAAGGAAGCCTCAAAGATGGACTGGCCCTCCCTGTCTGCTGCATCCACATTCCAATCCACAAACATGCCACGCAGGCCCGTCCATCTGCATCGTGAAAGCCAAACAGGCAGACACACACATAGCTGAGGCTGGGCTGGATCCCAGAGCAAACCCTTGGGTGCCTCCGGAGGGAGCCCACCACGAGGGATGGCTCGTAAACACTGGGGAAGGAACAGAAGAAGGGGAGCGCAAAGGAGCTCGGCCACTCACCCTGACCCAACCACTTCCCGGGAAGCCATCTCTGTGGGTCATGGTGGCCCCAGGCATGGCTCTCCCTTCGCCCACCCCCACCACCCAGTCACTCCACCCAGCTGTGACCTGCCACTTTCCTCCATCTCACATGCCCCCAGGAAGCCTCCCGTCCCAACAAGCCACGCTCCTTCCAGAGGGAACCTCTGCTAGGGGAGCCTCCATTTCCTTGCTCCTGCCTCCCTACCTGGCACCCAGGCTGGTCCTGGTACCCTGGTACTGAATAAAGGCGGACGTCTAAATGATTTGTCTGGGAGAATCTGCCCAGTGTTGGCACTGGAGGGAACAAGACCCACAGCCAGCATGGCCCATAAGCCACGCCCCCCAAGCTAGCACCTCCTCCCCAGAGGAAGCACAGGGCTGGAGGGGATGTGCCCCTGAGAGGCCTAGCTGTCTCCCTGCTGAGACGCAGAGCTCACTATGGGCCTCGCAAGGGTTTAAGCCGCATCATTTCATCTTCACAGCAGCTGTAGGTCCCGCTGACAGAGCTGACACATAGGGAGCTAAAGTGACCTGCGCAAGGTCACAGGCTACGAGTAGCAGCACGGGGCCCAGCACGGGGAACAGCCCTGGCCTCCCCCGCCTCCCCAACCCTGCAGCCTGCCCTGATTCCCATCCCAGGGGAATTCCTGCGCTGCAGGCAAAGCTGAAGCAGGAGCTGACAAGCCCTGCTGAGCCCGGAGAGGTCTGGGCGGTCCCAGGAGGGCGTCTCCCTAGGGCTTTGATGAGTTGGCGGCCGCCCAGGCACCTCTGCCTGCCTGCCCGGCATGGCAGGTGTGTGGGCTGGAGCTTCTGCCCAGCCCTGCCCTACAGCCACGATTAGGGGGACGAGTGCAGATAAAGCACAGAGGCCAGTTACATCTGAATTGCAAATCAACAATGAATTGTTATTTTAGTACAGTATAAAAGTATTTGGTCCCAAAGAACTGGAAGCAGGAAACGGAACGGGTCCCCATACACCCATGCTCACCGCATTATTCACCAGAGCCAGAAGGTAGAAACATGTCTCTCCACAGTTGAATAGGTTGTTTCCACAAACTGTCTGTAGGCGCATACAATGGAATAGGATTAATCCCCGAAAAGGAAGAAATTCTGACACATGCTCTGGTGTGGAGGAGCCTTGATGACGGCGCTGAGTGAAAGAAGCGACACAAAAGGACAGATCCGGTGATTCCACTTATGTGAGGTCCCTAGAGGAGTCGATTCATAGAGGCAGAAAGGATGGCAGGCACCGGGGTGGTGGAGAGGGGAAATGGGGAGTTACTGTTTAATGGGGACAGAGTTTCAGTTTTACAAGATGAA